GTAACTGAACTAGGGCCTGCTTGATGTGAATATGGGGCCTCGTGGGAAAATGCAGAACTACCAACACCAAAAGAACTCGGAAATACACCTTGGGACGCCATCATTTGCGTGAAGCTTTGTTGCACCGTCCCCGGAACACCTACATTTACTCGCTTCTCCAACTCCACGTAAATGTTGGGAGTTTTTTGTTCTTCAATCAGCTCTAAGATATCCTAACTGGATTCAATTTTCATTTTCACTTTTCGTTCCCTTCCATCAAATACTGCCTGTTTGTAGTATTTTTGGGTAGTTGATAACCGAGTTACCCGGACTCGGGTCGTTCTCAAAGGAAGGCTATTCGGACACGGATTCAAGCAACGATCGACTCACACAAGAAAAGAAAATAAAAATCCTAAACATTCTACTCGCATGATTGGGAGTTCGGATTAAGCTAAGAACGCAATTTAAGCAAAAACGAAAGCAAGATTCAAACTTTATCGCAAGCAACACCTCAAATTGCAATAAAAAGAAAAATAAAGAGAAAAAGAACAAGGTACTCCTAGACCCGAGATGGAAAGAAGGCCCTCATAGGTTCGGGAACATGCAACCGAGCAATAGTCACTCGTGATCAATTAATCTCTCAATCAATTCTCGCTCACGCAATCAATAACAATATCACATAATCCCTAGCATACGAGGATGATAGCATAATCGACTCATGGATGTGCATATCTTAACCCTAGAATAACTCAATAAGTAAAGACAAGCAAGACTAACGAAATCATGAACCTTAAGCGAAGTCTCCACGTCTCTAATGCATCCACGAGAAGAAATAAGCCAAAAAGTTGTAATCTTGATGGAGAAATATTACAATAAAAATAGGGTCTTGGAGCCCTTAGAGAGAGAAAGAAAACTAGAGAGAGGAGAGAGCAAAAAAACTAAAAAGAAAAAGTTTAGCAAAATGAGGAATTTCTTCAAAAATACAAAGCATAATGTCTATTTATAGCTACACCACAAACACACACTAAAACGCACACATTAAATGAGAAAACTCGCGAGTTAAGGCGAACTCGCGAGCTAAATCTTGATTTTCGCAGACTATTTCCGCTAGCAAAGGAGAACTCGCGAGGTAGAGGTGGTTCGCGGGCTAGGTGAGGATTTTCGCGGGCGCGGAATTTGGCTTCTGCAGCATGTAGAGAACTCGCGAGTTGAGTGTATCTCGCGGAATGGATTTCGCGGGCGCGGAATTTAGCTTCTGCAGCATGTGGAGAACTCGCGAGTTGAGTTTATCTCGCGGAATGGATTTCGCGGGCGCGGAATTTGGCATTGACTTGACTTTTGATGCTCGATTCGCTCTAACTTTTCGCACACAACTCCGATTCGCATGAAATTTAGACCAAAATTTTCCTCATTGAATTCTCTTCGTCCCGGTATGGCTTGGTCGGATTTTCCGGGTTGGACGACTCGGTCGGATCGGACGGCTCGTCTCCTCATCCTCGACACGTTGGACCTATTCAACACCAAAACAAAAGGGAAAACGCGCAAAAACACAAAAACACTCTACAATAACAAAAATACACAAAATACGATAAAATGGACCGGTCGACACTAACATGAGCCTAAAAACTATAAAATAAAGCACACAAAACACACGAAAATAACGAAAAAAACACAATAAACACTGCCCACAATAAGTACTCAAAATTACAAGGATCGGCCTTCAATAATGCTTGAACACGAGAAACTACTTCAGAATACATTTGTCGGCCGTAATTTATTCTCATCAGCTCTGCCACTCCACCAAGATATGAACCCCCGGAAAACGTACCAACATAGCTCACGCATACTCTAACACGGGTGCTAGCCATTCAAATAAGTGAACAACAAAAGGAATTAAAACGAAAGAAACAGAAAATTGCAGTAGAGAAGAATGGTGCAGACGTTGAATTGTTAGAGATCACTGTTTTTTTGCCTGCATGATAAATGCACAGACAAAATCCTCACCTGTGAAAAAGCAGTCAATTAATGAGGTGCGTAACTTATGCGACAGATATGCGATCAAATTCTGAATAGTCGTAAAATTTCCATGACGATATGGCCCTGCGAAAAAATGGCGCGTTATCGTCAATTAAATTATGCTTGATTTGATTTTGTTATGCGATTCTTCAATATGCGAGGGAAAAAATGTCGCATCATTGTCAATTATCCGGCGGATATATGCAAAAGTTTTTCGCATACCAGTAAATTATGCGATTGACTTGGATATGCAATTTCCAGAAAATGCGAATTCAACAAATAATGCGAATGATATGCGCAACATTTTCGCACAGTCATAAATTTGCAAGGTCGATATAGCCCTGCGAAATAAGGCGCATAATCATCGTAAATTATGCTGCATTCGATTTTGATATGCGATTCTTAAAACTGCGAAAGATATTCGCATATTTGTAAATTATGCGTTGGATGTGGATATGCGATTACAAAAATGCGAAATGTTTTCGCATAGTCATAAATTATGCGTCCGCTTGGATATGCGCTGGTTCATTTAGACATGCGACTGTAATATCGCATAGCATTTCGTGAGTTTTGGGGTGTAAAAGAAGTTATTTGATGGGGCGGTGTGTAAAAGAAAGAATAGATTTATAATGGGGTGAAAAAGATTTTGACCCATAATTGATTAATAATTGTTTTACACAAAAAGTGGGTATGCGAATATCCTCCAGTGACCTGCGAATGCATTATGCGACGTTTAGTTGTCGCAATTATGTGTGTCGCAGAATAGAAAATCTCCAAAAACAATTTCTGTTTAAATAAACTCTTCGATTATACTACGAATGTTGTGCGGTTTGTATGCGAATTGGTTTCGACTAATTGTTAGGCGACGTTTGTATTTCGACTAATTGTCGCAGGTTCATTAGCCTAAACTACGTGTTATGCGTAATATTTTCGACTAATAGTCTCAGGTTCATTTCGCCTAAAGAAGAATTTTCAAAAAATTAAATTCTAAAAAAAATTATTATGCAACAACTAGGCGAATAATACGCGACGTTTGTATTTCGCAGAATAGAAAACTTCAAAAAGAAATTAAAAAATAAAATAAATTTTTCTTCATTTATACTACACAAGTGTTTCGCAATGTGTGTCGCAGAATAGAAAATTTCCAAAAATAGTTTCTTTTTCTTATTATGCACCAACTAGGCGAATAATATGCGAAAATTGTATTTCGCAGAATAAAAGATCGAATAGAAATTCCTACACTACTACTTTTACAGTCGCTTCAATCCCAGCCGATTACAAAGTTAAACAAAAAAATCGAAGGACCAGCCAAGCCTAAAAAAAAAGCTAGGACGAGGGAGCCGACGAGCTACCAGCCTACCACAACACTCAGACTCCAGAAAGAGGAGCTGTAGGTGGAGCTTGTTTGTGGAGTTCCATGTAGAACTCCAGCATGAGATCGGCCCCGACCACCACGCTCTGAACCGATGGGCTCTGACGGGTTCTGGGAAGAGATCCCCGTCGACCAAACACCTTCCTCTGTCAGGAAAACCTGGCCGACCACAACCTAGAGAGGTTGAGGCCAACATTGCCTTGACAGAGGGTCGGGCCGTTACGCCCCGGCCGTCGACGCACGCCGTTCTGACCTTCAACCTTCTCATAGTTGATACGGCAATACCCGGGCCCGGAGGTCTGATCTTCATCGTCGCTGTCTCGACATATATGTTTCCTGCCGGGGCCAAGTTAATAAAGTTGTGATAGCGGAATTTCCGCTCGTTGAATTTTTACTCCGACGAATTCGAAAGGTTAGGAGTTCTCAATTCGGACACAGTAATCTTAAAGAATTGCCTCACGGGTCGAAAGAAAGAATTTTTGTAACTCTAGTTTATCTCCGGCGAAATGCTTCTCATATACAAGAAAAGGGAAAAACAGAGGGCCATTAACAAAGAGTTCTGTGGGACGGATGGGTAGTAAAAGAAGTGGCATGATATGGATCGAAGATTACACGCTTTATATAGACGGATGAAACGATTCGTGTGCACGCTTTTACTGCCCAGGCGTTTTGAAAAGCGGATAAGACGCCTCGAAATCGGCCGTAACGTTCCAACTGCCAGCGGTTTCTAAACCATTCAAAAATTTAAATTTTAAAAATAAACTTTCGATCGATGAAAGATGAAAGATGAAAGAAATAAAAAATAAACTTTCAAGTAGAAGCGCGAAGGGGGTATGCGAGGAATATGCGGTAATTCGCATACCACATCGCATAACTGAAATAACAGAAAGATGAAAGAAATAAAAAATAAACTTTTGAGTAGAAATACGAAGGTGGTATGCGAGTAATATGCGGCAATTCGCATACCCCATCGCATAACTGAAATAACTGAAAGATGAAAGAAATAAAAAAATAAATAAAAAATACACTTTCGAGTAGAAGTGCGAAAGGGGTATGCGAGCAATATGCGGTAATTCGCATACCGCCTCGCATAACTGAAAGATGAAAGAAATACGAAAAAAATTATTGTGCACTAATTCCGCGAATAATATGCGACGTTGGCATGTCGCAGTTGTGTCGCAGAATAATTTTTTCGTCTAATAGTCGCAGTTCATTCGCCTAACAAAAATAATTATTTAATGGGCGACGGACCGCGATTGACCGAATCGTACATCGAATCTCCGAATATTCATCGTAGAACAGTTGCATACTTTAACTCATAATTTTCTCGCCCATGCTCATACCTGTCGCCTATTTAGTGCAAAGTTCATCGCATATGTCTTCGTACTTTTTAGGGTGAAAAACTTAGCTTTTTATTGACTGGTGTGAAAAACTTAGTATGACTTCACAATATGGTGAAAATAGCTATTTCCCATAATAAAACATAAAAGTTGCGCTACACTTGGAGTGCATTCAAGATTAGCCGACACAACAGACAAAATATGCAATCATACACCACCAATTAATTAGAACGCCCACACACACACACACATTATTTCAAATGTGGAAAAATCATAAACACACATACACACACCTAAAAGAAGAGGCCCAAGGGCTCGAACTTCACACGGCTTATTTGGTCAATTCGGTGTTCCATTTCCGGGGTCAAGTAGGTCTTCCAATCCCCAACCTCACCTTTCCTAAAGTACAAACTATTTGGCACGTTGAACAAAATAGAACCACCCTTATTCACTTCCAAACCCTTTAGCCTTTCCAAGCTGCAGCTCCACAACACTTGATCTACTTCCCTCCCATCCACAAACGGCCTCCCCAAGAACTCCGCAATCTCCGCAACCCGTCCCTTGGGATCACTTTTCAGCTCCTCGTACTTGACGAACATCACTTTGACCGGCCTTCTCCGACTCTCAACCCAATACTCGGCCACGTGATCGAAGTACGACCCGTACTGGTGAACTCCATTACAAAATCCATCGACTGCGTTCACTAGTGGGAACGGATCCTCGTTTGGCCTTAAGATCTTGTTAAAGAAGTGCCACGACGAGATGAGGGTGTCCTTAGGGTTACGTGCAATGTACACGATTTTGCACGAGGAGTTCTTAACAGAGCCCGGGAGCACGACATAAGGGAGGTGGGTGTGGAGGAGATGTGGAGCCGACGTGTCGTAAACATCGACTAGTAGGTTTTTGGTAGCATAAATCATGCTTTCGATTGTGGGGACGTGGAAATGAGGGTTTTCACGTGCTAAAAGACGGTCGTGTGTGTGCTTGTGGACGATGCATAGGGATAGGGCTTTGAGCCATGTGGTGCCCGTTTTCATGGTGGACGCGAGGAGGATGTCGTCGTCTCGAGCCTGGAAATTTGAACGGAAGAAGATGGCGGGTTTGATGAGGTTAGGCTCAAACCAATAGCCTTCCCACTGGCAGATGTCCATGGCGTCCCAAAACCGAGCTTTAGGGAGATCGCATAGCAGCTCGTCGTCATTGTTTGGTGAAGGGGATGAAGGGTTTGACATATATATGAAGATTGATGGTGTTTGGGAGATTATGTGAGAAGAATGAGGTTTGAGGCAAAGATTGTTTTATATATAGTGGTTTCACATAAATGTCCATAGGATGATTAATGTTTTAATAAGACAATAAAGTTTTTATTTCAATCAATATAAGATAAAACTTTTTTTACTAAATAATGTTTGATCTTAGATCGATCATGTGAAAGTGATATAGGGTGGAAAGCATTGGTCGGGAAAAAAAGTTGATTGTTAATCATTTTAAATAAAAAATATTACGTAAGAGTAGGGATCCAATTAGCCTCAACTATTACAAAATTTTAAATTAATAACTCTATAGTCCAAAATAAATCCGGATCTGATGACACAGCAACACCTCATCAAAACATAATAAATAAAAATTACGGTCCCTGTTGGTAACGACTTGCTGATTATTAAACTGGCTAGTACACGATGGACGAGGTGTACAATTTTAAGGACATTTATCCAGCCTTATAATTATATTGATAAATAAAAAAATGTACGGGATATATATAGTACGTGGCCTGTGCGAGAAACGAGATATATTTATTTGGAGATTATTATACTATAAGATGCAATATTCAATAAAAGTTTTACAATAAACGAAAAGAAATATAAATAATGTAAATATCAAAATACATACACGATATGTAGAATAAATAAGCCAAATTGCAAATCTGAAAATATAATTAAAAAAAATCGAAAATATATTTCACTAAACATGTACAAAAATATCTAAATACATACACGAAAATACAAAAATAAAATAAAATATACGTTTCAAATTTCGAAATTAAAACAAAAATTAAAATAATTTGGCTTACAATTTTATCATGCAGAACCAACTCGAGATATGATTTGTATGTGCTGCCCCAGTCTTGGAAAAACATTCCCACAATTCGAACTTTGAGTATAAGTCTATTAAACCTATTGACCTGTTTGACTAACCTAAATCCTAGATTCATTATTTTGAATAAAAGACTAATTAAGGATATTTTTTGTTCGCATGAGATTGACAGTGAAGAAGATGATGGCTCAATATTTTGAGATTTGTAATTTATAATGAGTAGAGTAGAAATATATTGTTGTTAATATTTTTATTAGAAAATTTGAATCTGAATATACAGAAATCGGTTTGACAAAATCAGAATAGATTTTCATACAATTAGATAATAAATTAAGCTTTTTTTATTTTAGTAAAGATTTTACGTACGTTTTTTTTACTTATCAAACGTTATGGGACTTTTTTTGTTAAACCGATTTTATGGGATATAATCCAAATACAATAAGATGATTGAACAACACTAGAACAAATTTCCATACAATTAGATACGAAGAAGGAATTAGATAAGGAAAAGAAGGAATTAGATAAAGAATTTTGAATCTGCTTTTTTTTAGTATAGATAGACTTTATGTACAAATTTTGACTTCACCGATTTTACGGATTTATTTTGACAAAATCGATGTTAATATAGAATAAGACAAATAAATAAAATCTTTTTTATTTTTGTAAAGATTTTACGTCCTTTTTTTTGACTTATCAGATGTTATGCGATTTTTTTTTCTTAAACTAATTTTATGGGATATAAGACAAATAAATAAAATAATTAAATAAAAGTCAGGATAGAAATAGCAATGCATTAATTACGCTGACTTTTCAACCTACTAAATTCGATAAATAGGATACCTTATTATATAAGTAGATTTATTTATCCATCTCCAATTTCATTTTTATTTTTCGGAAGCAAGTTGAAGGGTGTATATCATCTACCAATCTACTGCTATTCTTAATTACATTGGTTAAATAGTCATTATCACAATTTAAAAAAAAAAAAAAAAAAAAACTGATGCTATAAACAGAGAAAACCCTAAGGCTACGCCGGAGTCCGATCAACGCCCGCCGGATGATCCGAAATACGACCCTCCCGATCGCTGAAACTCTAATTTCCGGAGCCCACATACTGATTACTTCCCGTCCCTGGAGCCGTCCCGCTCGCTGAAGAGGTCTCGCCTACAAGAACCCCTCGAAGAGGGTCTTGGTCAGTCTGGCCCTTTACCGACCGGGGGGCCTTCTTTTCGAGATATGCTTACCAAGGACCGACCGAACGTTGAATTGTTGTCCGAGGATGAGGGCATGACTTATGCGGATGACGATGTTGTCATTGACCGTGAAGGACTGATTCCGGACATCCGTTTGAAGGATAGCTTTTATGAGAGTTTATTGAATTCTTGGAGGAATGTGGTGGTGGTGAAAGTGATGGGAGCGGCTTTCCCGCACTGCCTTTGTACACCAAGCTAGTGTCTCTGTGGCTTTCGATGAATGGATGTGATATGATTGACTTGGAGAATGGCTATTTCCAGATTCGTTTCAATACACATGATGATGCCGTCCATGCACTTCTTGGTGGTTCGTGGATTGTATCGAAGCAATATCAGAAATTTTATCTTCACGTCCAGCCGTGGAGTGATACATTTGATGCATCGTGTGATCAAATCAAGTCTATGGTAATGTGGATTCGTCTTCCGGGGATTCCAGTTCATTTGTACCATAAGAAGGTATCCCGCATGATTGGAGATCCTGTGGGAAAAGTGGTGAAGATTGATCACCAAACCGCTGCTCAAACCAGGGGGAAGTATGCTCGTCTGGCTATGGTTTTGGACTTAGCCAAACCGTTATGCGCTAGCTTTTCTCTTCAGGGCAAGTTTCAACGTGTTGAATACGAGTTCTTGCCAGACATTTGTTTTAGTTGTGGGGTTTACGGTCACTCTGCAGCGGCTTGTGTTTCTCGCCAACGGACGACTGCGGGTGATGAGGTCCCGGTCTCAGCTGAGGGTGGATGTAAGACGAGCGAGGAAACGAACAAGAGCAGCGATGACCCCAACACTAGTACTGCTGGCACTAAGCCTTGCACCGAAGGTGGAAGTGCATATGGGTCGTGGTTACTGGCCAAGACCACCAGTCGGCCTCCCCCAGGTACAAGAAAAGTGAGTTTGAGTATGGTACAAGAAAGTCGGATACCACCCGCCGTGCTGGGTCGCGCTTCCACGTCTTAGGGGAGGACCAAGAGGAGAATATTCAGCCCCATTCTGTTTCCCAGCCTCGCACTGATTTTGAGTTTGCAGCGGGTCATAAGGAGCTTTCATC